AGTGCATCCCTTGGGATCCCTTATCCACCAAGCAGTGAGGGACAGCAGGAAGCAGCCTCCAAGAGGTCTCCCCATTGCTCTCATGGCCACAGAACCTTGGTCCAACTTTGCCAGTGGGAACATTTCCACTCCCATCTTCTCTGATCCACCCCCAGTTCAACCTCCCCTAAGGGAACATGAACCTCCTGGTGCCCCCAGGCTGGAAAACCAGGAGTGGGTTTGCTGGGATCCCATCTGGGTGGTGGGAATGTTGGGATCCAGCAGCTGCTGGGATGGAGCCTCTGAAGCCATCTCCAACACCTGGAATCATGGAATGGTTTGTATTGGAAGGGACCTTGAAGCTCCTCCAGCTCCAAACCCTGCCATGGACAGGGACACCTTCCACTAGAGGAGGTTGCTCCAAGCCCTGTCCAACCTCAGGCTCTTCAGCCCAACTAACCTCGTGGCTCTATGATGGATCCCTGGATCCCCCGGTGCCCCCCCAGCCCCACCATACACAGGGAAGTTTCCACCACGTTTATTTCTCCTCTATCTGCTGCCTCAGAACTTCTGGAACTGCTTCTTGGTGCCCGCAGCTTTGGTGACCTTGAGCACGTTGAAGCGCACGGTCTTGCTGAGGGGCCGGCACTCGCCCACCGTGACGATGTCCCCGATCTGCACGTCCCTGCCGAGACATTCCTGGGATCTCAGCCCCTGGCTCCCCTCCCTGCGGCCTCCACTGCCCCCCCATGACCCGCACCAGAGGCCACCTCAGATGAAGATCTAAAGCATCTGGTGTTGGTGCCCCCAGAGCAGCTGTTCCCCGCCCCGAGCTGCCGCAGAGCCCATTGTTCCCCACAGGACTGAGGCTCAGGAAGAGCTGCTCAAGAGGAGGGTGAGGGATGAAGGGAACCCTTCCGTGATGGGGAGATTCCCTCCTGGGCACACAGGGGTGCCCATAGGATGCTCAAAGCACTCCTTCAGGTGGACTAATGGGCTTTGACACCAGGACAGGCTGTTTTGGAAACCCAGCTCCGCTCAATGGGCTTAGGACATGCGTGGTGGACAAAACCCACCAGCTCCGAGCCCACCCTCAGCCTTGAAGTGAGGAACACAGGATCATGGGATGGTTTGGGCTGAAGGGAGCTTGAAGCTCATCCAGTCCCAACCCCCTGCAATGAACAGGGACACCTTCCACTAGAGCAGGTTGCTCCAAGCCCCTCTGTCCAACCTGGCCTTAAGCACTATTCAAGCCTCTCCCTTCAACCCATTCCAATGTCCCACCACCCTCATGGTGAAGAACTTGATCCTAACTCCCCACCTAACCACTCCTTGGTCAGGTTAAAGCCACCCCCTGCTGGTGTTTGTGTCCTGACTTTTTTTTGCAGCTGCCAGTGGCATTGTCAGCAGCCCCCATGCTGGGGGGCTCTGAAGACCATCGTGAGGTTGGACATCACTACCAGAGGCAGGCTCCAGGTCAGACGTGGCCGTGAAGCCACATGTGTCACGTGAAGGCGGGCATGCACTGCAGCTCCACATCAGGGTTAGTGTCAGGCAGTGGTCAGTAGAGCAGGAGACATGTGGACACCCTAACGCCTCTGTGGGTGCCCCCAGGGTGAGCAAGTACCTGAAGCACGGTGAGAGGTGCACAGACATGTTCTTGTGGCGCTTCTCGAAGCGGTTGTACTTGCGGATGTAGTGCAGGTAATCCCTGCGGATCACGATGGTGCGCTGCATCTTCATCTTGGTCACCACCCCTGGGAAAACGGGGGACATGGTGGTTACAGATGAGCAGAGGATGGGAGAGGTCAGAGGGCCCTTAAAGCTGATCCAGCTCCAACCCCTGCCCCGGGCAGGGACACCTTCCACTAGAGCAGTTTGTTACAACCCCTGTGTCCAACCTGGCCTTGAACACTGCCAGGGATGGGGCAGCCACAGCTTCTCTGGGCACCCTGTGCCAGCGCCTCAGCACCCTCCCAGGGAAGAGCTTCTGCCTCAGAGCTCATCTCAGTCTCCCCTCTGGCAGGTTAAAGCCATTCCCCTTGGCCTGTCCCTACAGACCCTTGTCCAAAGCCCCTCTCCAGGTTTCCTGGAGCCCCTTTAGGCACTGGAGCTGCTCTAAGGTCTCCCCTTCAGGAGCCTTCTCTTCTCCAGCTGCCCCAGCCCAGCTCTCTCAGCCTGGCTCCAGAGCAGAGCTGCTCCAGCCCTCACAGCAGCCACCGATTTCTTCTCACTCACCTCCAGAACAAGCTCTGGCAGATCCCTTGGGGGGGCTCTGGAGGTCTGTCACAATGGATGGGCTTCCCCTGCTCCTCACCACCAGGCTCCACACTTCATGTTTGATTCTAAACCACATAATTTCTCCCTAAGACCCTCTAGGCAGAGCCTGACGTGCTCCCTCACACCAATGCTCCCTGACCCCAATCTGCCCAGGGAACAGCACATCTGGCAGGACCCCACCGGGGCCAGCTCCTCGGGCTGGGCATCAGCAAAGCCACATGGTGCTGTCAGCAAAGCCCCTTCACCAGGGGGGCTTGGAAGACCATCGTGAGAGAAAGACATCACGTGCAGCCCGAGGACCTCAGCAGGACACCAGAAGCTCCAGGACAGCATTTGAGCACCCACGGGTGCCTTGAGGAACCACCACTCACCTGAGAGGATGCGGCCACGGATGGACACGTTGCCCGTGAAGGGGCACTTCTTGTCAATGTAGGTGCCCTCGATGGCCTGCAGAGAGAGGAGAGTCAGCACATGAGGAGAAACACCTCCAGTCCCATGTGGGGCCAGTTCCTGATGTCTTTACTGATGATCTGGATGAGGGGATCGAAGTGTGGAGATGACACCAGCTGCTGGAGGGGAGGAGGCCCCACGGGGAGCTCTGGACCCATGGGATGAGGTTCAAGCAGG